CAACATCACATCCTTAATCCCAGCATCACACACTCTGGATCCAGCCACCTCCACCAGTAAGATCCACTTATGACAGCATAAAGGCTTTGGGGGGACATCTAGACATGAGCCATAATACAGCATCTAAGGACTTCATCTCTAATAAGACGGGGAAATTTAGGATGATAGTTCAAGTACCAACTCCTGCTTTCTTGACATTGCATTCTGAACTGAACTGAAACCTAGCAACTCAGTTCTATCCTAGACTCTGCAACCCAGTTTTCTTTACTATTTGTCCTTTCATGTTTTGTTAAATTTCACTTCCGGTCCACTTACGTCTGGGTATCTAACCGGAGAGGGCTCTGTGGCAAGCTGGGCAAGGATACTCCTCCCAGCTGAGCTGACAGTGAGTTTCTCCAAGTAAACACAGCCTCCTCCCTCACTGCTCCTTTCAAATCATCTCTGGTAGTCATCAGTTTTGCCTGTTTTTTTCCTTAGATATCTGTCCCCAGAACAAAAATCTCCATAAATTCTATGCCGTTTGTCTAAAATATAACCACAGAAATATACTAATGGTTAATCACTGTTTTTATTACAACACATGTAATTCAGGGCAGTGAAACTCAACTGAAACATGAGAAGAAGAAAAACCACCATAGGGTTTCTGCTTTGTATTTGTTTTCTTAGTTCTTACTGATGGCACAAAGATCATTAATATGTATTTTCTTTCATCAGTTGGCTGCATGATGCTCTTCCCCAATCATTATAACCGATTTCAGATGGTGCTAGAAAATTATATTGACTCTGAACACCAAAAGAAATCAGTCATCCTCTAAGGGGTCACAGGAAGTCGTGAGGATCAGAAAGGTCCAAAGCTGAGCAAGTTCGTCATACATTTGTCCCTGTAATGTAGGCACGACGAAGTCTACATTATAGGTAAGTGCTATAGAAGGTTTATTAGACAAACAAGTACTGTATACAGTTCTAAAAAGGAAGCACTCCACATAATTCACTTGTTATATATAATACAAAGAGCAGGTCAGCTACATCACGAGGCAGCTTCTCCTGGCTGTCTTAAATTTGCTTTCCAATTCTTCTTTCATTTTCTCACTGTTGGCAGTGCAGGTGGTCTCCCCCAAGAACACTGATTTCAAATGGTGCTAGACAATCACTATTTAAATCTAAACCACCATATGAAACCAGCTTCCTGAAGAAGCTTTATGATCTGTTTTCTCTTCCGAAGCTCTTATTATAAACTCAATACAACCTAGAAAGAAAAGACTACAACCTGGCTACGTGCTATTCATTGAGCAGTCTAAGCAGAGCTTTAGCAAATGTTAACCATTCACACACCAGCATCACTCTCTCTGGGTTGGGGTAGGGGCAGGGACACCTGCAACTCTGTTGCTGAACTGCTCAAAGGTTTGGTACACCCCACCCTTCAGGTGGGAAGTCAAGGACGATGCGTTACTGGAGTAAAGAGGCACAGGAGGAGAACCAGAGCTCACCCTGGAGTCAGAGAGCCAGGGAGGCGTGGGATAACTGCACAGCGACGCTGAAGAGCCTTGGAGTGGACATACAAACAGCACAAACCCAGCAGGTGCCTTGGTAGAAGCTGAAGGAAACACTTTTCTAAATCCTAAACTTTTACTTTGAGGTAATTTTCTTTGAGTCGAAGGATTACTATGATTCTGAGAGCCAAAGAAGACAGTGGACTGGATCAGAGGCAAAATAGGACACTGATGACAATGAAATCCCAGTGGTTTTTTTTTTTTTTTCCAGAACAGAACTTTCAGAGGCATCTAACTACAACTTCTATTATTGTTGTTGCTGCTATAGTGGTACTGGGGGTTGAACCTAGAGCTTTCTTACTGAGCAACACCCTCAGCCTTTTAATTTTTTTTTTTCCGGTACCGGGAATCGAACTCATGACTTTGTGCTTGCCAGGCAGGTGCTGTGCCGCTGAACTAAACCCCCAGCACCCCCCGCCAAGCCCTTAATTTTGAGACAGGGTCTTGCTAAATTTAATTGCTTCACAGGGGAAAACACAAATTTTCTAACTTAACTCTAAGTATGATGTGTGACTGAAGAATATGGTTAATGTTAAAGTTTTTTAGAAAGACATTAAAGGACATATTGCTATGGACCCTCCTCAAAGTACTGCTCCTCAGTTTTTAACACACATCATTTTTACCACTTTCCGATGCAGTTCTGGAGGTCTCTGTCGTACGTTTTTGAGGTATGAAGAAAAATATGGTGAACGCTGCTGCCACGTGCAGCAAGGCAGGCTCCTAACAGGGCAGTGTTTTAACGTGGCAAGAACGATGGGATAAGTGTGTTGAAAGTGAGGGGACAAATTCTGAAGAGGATTAATGTATCTTCTACTGTATTGCATTAATAATTTAAACACCAGCCACATATTTCAACGAGCCTTGTATGCCCCTTAAAATTCAGCAGAATAACACCAACTTTCTTCTTTTGTATCTACAGCTCTTCGTATTAGTCCAGTTTGACAAGGCATTTTCAGCCAGGCATTAATACAAACATCACTCAGTATGCTTTTCCACACGTTTTAAGTCCTTGGGGATGACCTGGGATGTTGAGTTAAGTGGCTTTAAAGTTACTTAAACACACTGAGAGACATATTTAGTTTGGGGCCCTGTTTCCTACAAACAGGTCTGCAGAGGGGGACTGGCTACCAAGTTTAAGAAAAATCTGTGTTGTTCTCTAGAAGGGAAATGGAAAAACCAATTGATAGATTGATAAATTAATAGAAACTCATCCATTCTCTTTCCAGGACACGCAGGAGAACAGAGTGACGGCAGAGAAGTGGAACTGCTTGCTGAGTCCCATCACTGAAGGGGCAGCCCTGCTGGGAAGGGACGCTGGATGCAGTAAGTACTGGCCATTTCCCATTCCTCCCTGTCCGCTAATTGCCAACCATCAACTTGCAGGCCAGGCACAGTAAGACTGAATTTCTGTAATGCAGGATGTTCCTATTTTTAACCAGCAACAACTTTAAGGTATTGCAACATTTGAAAGCCGGAACAGCTCTTTCTTACATAGACCACACACTTAAAATTGCAGACTCTCCATCCGCAGCACTCATCATCTTCCAAGAACAGAATCCTCCTTTATTCTCTAGGCCCCCAAGCCACGAGACTCCGTCTCCATTTCAAAACTCAGTCTGTGCTGCCTATTTTCCAGCCAGCTGCCCTTCTTAGTACTTTTTCTTCCAGATCTGAGAGTGGGGCTGAAGTTGGGATGTGAGTCAATAACCTGCAGCAGGACTCCTGTGTGGCAAAGCCCAACATTGGACTCTCCCTTGACTGAAAGGCCTGCCCATTCTTGTGGGAGCAAACCGAATTAAGGTTACCGTCCTCAGGGCCTGGGATTTCACAGAGAGCAGTGTGTACCTCTGACACCTTTTTAAAAACACAGCTTCAAAATGCAAGGGACATTGGGACACGACAGTCCTCATTTGAGTCGGGCTGTGCTGCTTCCTCGCTGTGTGATCCTGGGGTAATCACTTAACTTCTTTGATCCTTTGTGTCCTGATGCTGAGAATGGAGGTCCAAAGTCCTATACTGCAGTGACTGGCAGGGTTGTGTACAGTGCAATCTATGAAACAGTGATTTTTAAAGCACTGCACAAGTGTTTAGGGTTTTATTGGCTAGGTCAAAATTCTGGAGTGCATTCTCAGGGTGAAGGCCAAAGTGAGTGAAAAGTGGATGGGAAAGGCACTCCAAAAAAAATATATATCTTTCATCTTTGGAATCCACGTTCTGTGGAAAAAATACTATGCTATGTGCTTTGAGTACATTTTCTCAACATTCACAACTACCTAACAAGGCTGGTGTGTCCAGACAAGAGACGAGGGGGAGAGGGCACATGCTTTGCTCCTGGACTCACAGCTCATAAGTGGCAAGACTGCAGCAAGACACACCCTGCTGTGCCCGATCCTGACTGACTCCAGGCTCACAGCCACCACTCTCTGCTGCAGGTGCCTTATAAAAACAGCTCATCTTCACATGGCCACAGTCTGCACCGAGAGTCAAGGTTTCACCAATGAGCACCTGAGCAAATCACTAACACTGGTATTGGTGCTGATTAGCAGGAGCACAACCCAAACGGACGCCAAGAGGAGGAGAAAACAGAAATCAGGGAGATCTGGCTCACAGTGAATGGCCAGAAGCCCTCAATACTCACCTACACCTCTTATTGCACTGTGATCTCAACCAAATTCCATCTTCCCTAAAACCATGTTTCTCCACCAACCTTAAAGGAGGTAAAGTCAAAAGAGCATTGTGAGTGTTTGCACAGATCATGCAAAATGCTCAGGTACTGTCTGCATGACCTAGCCTGGCAGTTTATCCTAAGTTTCCTGTTTCTAAGAGGCAGATTTCTGGTGAGAGAGGTGAAGCAGACTTCTGGAGCCAGAGCTCCCCAAACAACCCTGGGTAAATGTTACCTCTTGTGCTTCAGTCTCCTCATCTGTAAAGTGAAGATTATAGTAAAGGTTGCTATAAAGATTAAGTCAGGTAAATAAAACAATAGCATGAATTCAGTACATGGTAGCATTGCTTTTTCCTTTCTGAACATGGTAAAGGGAGATGTGGCTAAAAGATCTGCCACTGCTGGAAATGGAAAGGTGTTTCTGATCTACACCGATACAAGCCAGGGTAGCGGACTGCTGAGGTGTCTGACCAAAAGTAGCATCTGAAGAGATGCCTCCGAGTATGTGAATGCCACCTCTATCTATACTTGCTGAAATGAGGACCTTTTACACTTTCTACTGTTTCTCTCCCCATTCTAAGACCTGCATGTGGGACCTTTACTATTGCTTTTAAGTAAGAGTTCATATTGTAGACTTTTCCTGGTGGTAAACTGGAAAGCTGGAAGTTTAAGAGGAGTAGAGATTAAACACAGATGATCATTTTTAAAACTGTACTGGGGTATCATCCAGGAACAAAACACAGCAAAACTTTGAGGGTGGCTTGTGAGCGCAAGCCTCTACTTACATAGGGTGTAAAGGCAATCTGTTGGCAGGGATTTTCCAGGTGCAGAAATCCTCTGGAGGCATTGTTCAGAAAAGCAGCACCTGGAATTTAAATGATAGCATGAGCCCCTGGGACTTCTCCCAGAGCAACAGCAGAAGTGGAAGGCAGTGTTTGTTCTTCAGCATATTATTTTCCACCAGCATCAACCAATGCACTTTTTAAAAAGACAAATTCTAGCACCTTCTTCTTCCTGCCTAAGACTTAAGCTGGGAAAGTTCCTGTACAGTGGGCGACATTTGCCTCCTTGAGCCTGTGTTCACTCTGTACCAGAGATGACACAAGGTACAGCTGTTGCTAAGGAAACTGCCTGCCGACACACGAGGCCATGAGATTAGCAGACTGGCAAGGTTTGCGTGGCAAGATGTCTTAGGAAATAAAAGCCTGGTATAAAACCTATAGATCCAATCACAGCAGAAACACATGAAAGCAGCCTACACAGATGATAAGAGGAGGTTTCTATTTTCAAAACTGACTTTGCAGCTTCCTGTTTTAGCAGTATGGACTGCAGAAGGCCTGCACAGGGTAGCTCCCTCCTGCAAGTACCATCTTCCTCAACCGTGTCGGAACCAGGCAGAAGGCAATTTGGAATTGAAACCACATTACACTGTCTCCTACGCAGTCTAACTTTAAAGCTGGAACACATCTTTCACCACATCACAAGAGAGGAAGCCAATGTGTCGAGGTCTTTCTCAAAGCAGATCGTTCAAGTCAACACTTTGGTCATCCTTATGACGTAAGCTGCCATAGCAACTGGGAGTGCCTGCACAGTAGCTCCACAGAGAGCACCTTCCGAAGGTCTTAAAGCTCAGAAAATGCCTGTTTTACCCAACAAGAAGCTGAGTGACTCAGCAGCAGTCTGATGGAGAAATCTCAGTCCTATCAAGTTACCACCTATTGCAACTGCTAAGTTAATGATTAAAACGCCGCTGGGGTCACAGAGCATGCCCACTGCCAGCTGGTGGGGATGACAGGGTCCAGGAATGTGGGTTGGAATGGACTGTAGTTGAAAAGAATGGGCTGTAGTTGACAGGTGTAACCTTTAAAGCAAACACTACTGAACACATTGGTGTCCAGAAAACTCAAGCAATCAAGATGGTATCCAAACAGGAACGTAGTACGCTGGAGAGGTTCTTGAGGACTTGGGTTAAAATCCATCAGGATATTGTCAAATTGAAAAACAAAATGAGGAGGGAAAGCTATACTTTTATGTACTACTGTCTCACAACAGGAAAAGTAAATCTTATAAAATACTCAGGCAAAGAGTACACATCAGGGTCAATGGAAGATGCAAACCAATGTGGAGGTATTAAGGCCCATGGAACTCGGGAGTATCAACGCACTACTGTAAAATAACAGCAGGTTCCCAAAACCATCTGATCAGAAAAATCAGGACAGGGACCAAACATGGGAGAGGAGCTTTCATTTTTCAACAGCAATGAGGTTTCTGTCAGCTTGTGAGGAATGCCAGTCTGCTGCTGTCTAGAAGCTTCTAGTCTTTGGGAAAGTGGTTTGTTCCCCTGAAGCTCCCAGAAACGCCTGCACACGGCAACTATTCCTTAAAAGTGATGATAAATGCCTCAGTATAGAGCCTGTGCCTTTCCTCTCTGCCATTCCCCTAGGGAACCTGAGGTCTGGTGACTGCTACACCCACACTCAGATGTCTGCACAGAAGGCTCAGGGAAGAAGGCTGTATGAGTCAGTGACAAGGGTCCTGCAGTCTCTGATGGTGCCCCGCCATCCTGATGAGCGTGGGGCTTTCACAGCAGCGCTTGGAGGCTCTACCCTAAGGGCAGAACGGAGGCCAGGGTTTGTACCAAACCTGCGCTGCAGGACAGCAGTGAATGCAGCCCAGCCAGGAAGCCTAATGGCTTTCCTGTTCCCTCTGTCAAGAAGCCATGGGTCAATGTACTCTGTAACAGGTGGCCACCAAATGACTTCCTCTAGGGTGCATAACAAACTCTGGAGCCTTTGTAGACTTGGAAGTTTTTGTTTTCAGCGGTTGAACCCACAGCCTTCACAATCAGCTTTATCCCCAACCCCTTCTTTGAGACGAAGTCTTGCTGAGTCACTAAAAGCTACCCACATTGGGCTCAGACTTGTGAGCCTCCTGCTACAGCCCCCCAGAGCGCTGGGATTACAAGCATGCGCCACCATGTGTGGCTTACCTCTGCCCATCTCTGTTTAGACTCAGATCTACAAATGAGTATCTTTCCCTCACATCTGTCCTCCTTCATGAGTGAATGTGCTCATATGCTGCCCTTCACTGTCAAGTGCTCCTAAGTAATCTCCCATTTAACGGCACCTTTCAACTGGGATTAGAAAGACAAACAGAAGAAGCTTTGAGATGAGAAAGAACTAAACTTGAAATTGTCTTCTGTAACTTCTTACTCAGCCTTGGGCAAGATGTTTAACCCTTTCTGGGCTTTAGTTTTTCCATTTTAAAAAGTGGAAAGAACACATGTTAACTCTCAGAGTTGTTGTGAAAATATAACTAAAAACAAAACTCAAGTTTCCATTAAATATGAATCCCGCTCCCAACCACATTCCTCCCTGCAAGAGCACAGCACATCTGACATTTTGGATAGATGGGTCTACATGATCAATATGTTAAAACTAGTGGGAACAACTAAAGTAAGATTGGGCATTGGGGAAGAGAGGCTGTGGGTCAGTCTAGGGCAGTGATGGCATACCTTTTAGGGACGAGTGCCTGCACTGCAAGCCCAAATCCACTTATTTATTGTGAAGTGCCAACACTGCAATTAAACCTGAATACTAAGGTTTTCATTTAGAAAAAACAACTCATACGTTAGTATCTTTTGTCCGAGAAGAAAAACAACATGCATGCCATAGGTTAGCCACTACTGGTCTAGGGGATTCTCTGGTCAGAAAGGGCAGGCCAAGGACTATCAGAACAAGGAGTCAAGAGTCAAGGGAAAGACTGGCAAGATCTGATACTGGGATCGTGTTCCTCTGACCATCACTTACTCACCACTGACTCACCGCACTTACAGTACATCGGCAGCCACGGGTGGGTCAGAGGACAGGACAGCAAACTGGAGAGAGGAGGCCAGTGTAAGTGAACACATCAAACAGACAGTGACAGAGGAGCAGGTACCCAATGCAAATGCATAGTACAACAGGGGCAAACACAGAGGAGGCACCAGTCCCCGTCAGCTACAAGTATGGGCAGATATAGTACATCTTTCGTGGACAGATGAGCCAACAGCACTGTGGGAGAGCCACGAGCCACTTCTCCACATAATCGAGCCCACAGCCCAGCACTGTGCTCGACACAGCTAGAAAAATACTAAGTAGATGACGTGGCAATGTTTGTGTGTGACACTGTAGGATGTGGGATAAAATTTACTACCAAGGATCAAAGATACTGCACAGTGTCACACTGGTGGACAGCATGATGGTCAGGGACTCGATGGGATGGGATGGGCCTGGGGTGGGCTGTGGATGAGGCAGGAGATGCTCCTCAGAGGATGAGGGCCTGATGGACTCCCCAGAGGCAGCCTGGGCAGGTGGGACAAGGAGGGGACAGAATAGCAGTGAATGTCGTGGGGAATGGGGGAAAAGCCACTGCCTTTGGGAAGTCAGGCTGCAAGGGATCTGAGATAACACAGGACAAGAGGGATGGAAGGGACAGGCTGCACCTCAGAGCGAAAGTGAGCTGGGGTATATCTAGCGTCTGTTGATCTGGAATGAGGTTTTGTCTGGAGGCGGGGAACAGATTACCTGACCCTTCATAAATGCATCTCTGCTCAACATGAGTCCCCTGCTCAAATCCTTTGGACAGCAAATGGAAAACCATCACACTCTGAAGGTGAATCACAGGAGAGATTCTCGAGGCACAGCTAACACACAAGGAGCTTTCTCTTTAACTGCTGAAGTGGGCAGGAAATGTGGCCTGACCAACAGAACAGCAGAGGAAGGCGAAGAGGCTGGGACTCAGGGCATTCTCAGGAGACAGGAATTGGTAGGGCCCCAGACCCAAGAGAAACAGCGAGGGTGGGGAGGATCTCCTCCAACATTATTTGTAAAAAATCCTAAGAAGAAAACAACACATGCTGCTTTCTATTCCACTTTTTTAGCTTACTGCATTGTTTTCTGAGAGAATTTTACCCATGGCTTAAATTTGAAATATTTGCTAGACTGTACTTTTTAAAGTATACCCAGATGTAACAAACTACTAAGATGACAAAATCAAAGTAAAGTTCAGTTAAACCACCACCTCCCTTGCAACTCTCCATTTCACTCCTGCGAGGAGACGACACAGAAGCTGGATGGAGAAGCTGGAGCAACTGGAGGCACAGAAGATGCCTGCCTCAGCAAAGAAAAGACTCAGGAAAGGCCACGGACGTTAAGGACACTTCTACGGCCCTAATCTAGCCAAACTCTTCTACGGAACGCAATTGGTGTCTCTTTGAAATAATCATCCATTTTAGAAATGAAAAAACACACCCATACTTGGGGTGGGTGGGTATTGTTATTTATCTCTAAAATCAGCCTAGAAGCTAAACAAGATGATGTCTCCTCCACCTTGGTTTCCATGGACCTGGAGGAGGGGAAAACAGCACTGATTATTACCAGGACTAAGGACCAATTCTCCTTTAAAAGACCAGTTGGTGATGCTTACCTTGATACTTATGACATACTGAGCTTACAATCCCTGAGGAAAAGAAGCTTTGGAAAAAATCACACCATCCAAATAACAAAGCAATGGATGATGACTGCTTAAGTATCACCTGGAAGGAACAGGTATACATAGGATTTACTCCTTAGCAGGGTTCCCAGCAGGGCTGAGAGATCTAGGTAAAACTCTTGTACATCTTCTCCTTAGAGAAATTAGTTCACGTCAGAGAATGAGTTATACAAATAAAGGCAGCACCTTCACCCTGTGTGCTCGTGGAGGAAGCGGCTGCAGAGGGTTGGTGTGTGGTGGGTACAGAGCACCCGTTTGCATCCTGTCTTGGGGATGCCATGCTTGGTCAGTCTCTGGCTCTGGTCAACACAGTGCAAGGTCTGGGGGAGAATT